ATAGTAATTTATGATTTTTTAGTTATTCAAAAGAAAATATAAAACCTAAAAAAAATATTTTCTTTCATATCCTCCAAGTGCAAAATTTTTAAAGGCTTAGCAACCTACAGCAAGCGAATACAAAGGTCGTAACTAGAAGAGATAATTGTTAACTTTACTTCTTTATTTACTATTCTATGCTTTAGGAAAAATAACTTTAAGAACTTATTTCAAAATAGCAATAATATATATACATATATAATGTATAATAATTGAAATGTGACTGTATTTTACAAAATACTAGTCGACTAAAACACAGCCAAGACAAGTTACTTTGTTCAGACCAAAGGTCACCTTTCTGTTATTTGATATGGTAACATAAGTACATATGAGTCACGTCATTGTAACTTCTGTATTGTTAGTTAGGCACGGATGAAAGGTCAATATATAAAAATAATAAATATATGTAAATGTATTATGTTATGAGATTTAAGCTATTTCGTCTAAACATTTATGTTTTATGTGTTATAATATGTGTTGATTCTAAAATGAAAGAGGCATAATTTATGTTTATTTCCCACTTTTTTATGATGGTTGCGAGATCGGTCAAATTTACCTAACCATACACAGATTAATAACTGAAAATAACAGATAAAATATAAAGTTTTTTCTTAAAAAACGTTGGATAACTATCCGGACATTATAAAGAATGAAAGAGGCACAATTTATGTTTATTTCCCACTTTTTTATGGTGTTTGCAAGATCAGTCAAATTTATTGAACCCGTATAGAGATTAATTACTGAAAATAACAGATAAAATATAAAGTATTTTTTCTCAAGAAATGCTTGATAACTATCTGGACATTATAAAGATTTTGCATGTGAAATTTCAAAATTTTCTGATGCATAAAAGTATTTTTAATCTTAAAATGAAAATTACTTTGCATGATAGATAGATAAGATGTGAAAAGAAAAAAAAAGGCATGAGAGAAACATTGCTTTACAAACATCAAGACTTTATAAAAAAAAGATATTTTGCATATGAAAGCATTGTAATATTTACTGATAATCTGGCAAATTTCGTTAACATTCATTTACTAATTTAAAAGTTGTAGCATGAAAACTATAACAAGTACAAAATGGTTACGAGGTTGGTCCCAGGGACTGAGCCCGGGTTGAAAGAGTTAATAACATTTTGAATGTATGTAACTAAAACCTCATGACATGCACAGTTAATGATGCCTGGGCAGATAGGGTTAACCAATATTTTGAAACAGCTTTCATTTCCATACTGGTCTGTGGGGGGAGAAAGATAAACAGAGGAGAGCTAAGTCTAGTTGATATTCCCAATAACACAAACACTGGTGTGGCTACTTGTATAGAATACTGGCAATGTATTCTCTCTTTATACTTTCTTAGTTATTTTCCATTCTCATTTTACAGAAGTTAATAAAAATGTGAAGTTCTGTTCTCCAACACTTGTTCTGAATTATCAAAAGGTTAAATACAGATAAATCAACCAGAATCAATATTAAAAATAAGCATCCAGTGTCACTAAGGATTGAAATGGAAAAAAAAGTACCACTACATGCTCATGAGCATAAAAAGAATAGGTTCAAACATTTAAAAGCAATTGCCAGTGTCAATGAGTGCATTGACAAAAATAGCAGACCAGTATTTATTATTTAACTAGTCATTTTCATCAGTTTTTTAATTTGCCTTTTTCAAATTTGATGATATAAATTAACTAAATATTTTTTCACCAGTAGTAAAAAGAAAGAAAATGCTCGAAATTTATAGAAAAAAAGCATTATGAACAGACCATGCTACCTTCAGGACTTACTTCAGAATTACTAGTTCATTTACTAGGATTTTCTCAGAATTTTTATGCAGAGTGCTAGGATTTAAAAAACTATTGAGTGGAAATACTGTAATCAGTAAACACTCAATACTACAAGCAACTCAACCAACTTCTTTGAATTAAAACTTTAATATATTCTAAATATTTTAATCTATTTATTCTGCTCAAATTGTTATATTTGTTACACATAAGCCACTTTAAAATTGTTATATGTTCTTCAACTTCAATTAACCCTTTTGCAATGGATATTTCTTTAAACTCCTTTCTGTACAGGTCACTGAATTACACTCAAAGTTTAATTAAACAACTTTATTATCAACGTATGTCAATGAAATTAAGATTACAATGTATAATTCAAGGTTTTATGTCATCTAAGTTTTAATTCCTTTATTTCAAAAGAAACCTTTAAAAAATACACTTAAATTTCAGTTTTGTTCTCACTTAATGCAGGAACATTCACAAATATGAACTTTCAGATTCTCTAAATTGAATCAGACAACTACACAGTGTCTATACATGTATGTCTAGACAAAAACTACATCTACTGCACTAGTTACACTTATGTTTCAAAGTTTTTTGGCTGAGTTCAGTGGACACAAGACATACATGTTGCTAACACTTGATTAGTTCCATACCCACATTCTATACTTAGACTTCAGATTTATAAGCTACATATGCTTATTTGATCCACATGTTTATAACCAATATAAAGAGTTCATTTACAATATCATCTTCCAATGGCTATTTTAAAATTGGTGCGCAGTTTTCTTTATCATGTATATTAACTGTTGGTAGTAATTGTTTGCTGCTTTTGCTTGCTTGAGACTCATATTGTTATAATGTTGATACTGTTTCAACAGCAAAATGCTGAAGGTGAACTATATACAAACAAAATGTGCAGAACAAACTGGTGTAAATTCATTTCCACAAACATATCTCTGTTTTCAATTAGATTAATATAATCACATAACAACAAAGATCTGAATATACCGAAAAATACAACTTTACAATTTTTAAAACTGCAAGTTCACTAAACACAAAAGCAGTAAGCAAGCTACACATACATAAAGAATGGAAAAGGGCATGAGTTGCTCAGTTAATGAATAAGCTTACCTATTTTGTAATTCCAAGCTTTGTTGGACAACAGCTTCTCCAGTAGTGGCTAATTTCATTAAAGTTTGACCAGCTTCCAGGTTTAGTAAACTAAAAGCACACAGTACCTGTAGCTTTGATCTGTATCAAACAAAACAATGTTTAATAATACTTCCAGTATCTTATCTATACATCTACATCAAATATGTCATATTTTAATAACAAAGCAGATGTATTTAAACTATTAAACATATATTAATGCCCAGAATATTAGCACTTTAAATCAGCACAATATATTGGGTTAAAATAACAAATTTAATACTATGTAGCCTGATCCAAGTTCCTTTTCAGCACAACACACTATGCCTGGGTACCTAAGTAAGCCTTAATAAATATGATTCACTACGTGAAAAAAGTAACAGAATTGTAGTATCTTAGTTCTTAAGAGTTTTAGTATGAAAATACAATTATGGTCTATTGAAAACTCGTATCAGTATTGTCAATAGACAATTAGACAAAAGATTAAAAATAATATATTTTACTATTAAAGAGGATCTAAAGATGGAAGGTTTCAAGAAAGCAGTTGTTTATTCCATCCTTTCCCATTTACACACAAACTCAAAATTGGGAAAAATCCCCCTCCCCACTTTTTAGTTTGAAATAATTTTCTAAACCTTATTATAAGGATAAATTGAATCTCAGAAATAATGGGTGAGGGAGTTTAAAGTTCAATGTTTTACTTTTGGGAATGTAACCAGCACTATAAACAATAAGTACTTGATGAAGCTACTGTTACAAAATT